ACATAAAAATGCACTCTTCTAGACGAGCTTTGTCCCAGGAATCTAGTGGTGCCATTTGTTTTCACATGCGATGTTCAGAAGTGCCTCTAATTCACGAAAATGCTAATGACGTCACCATGCCCTATGCATGTTGGAGCTATTTTTTTACAATTTGGGGGTCAAAAATCAAGATAGAAAGTTGAAATTTGGCACATCTAATGTTCTAATAGAGCTCTATAACATATATTCCGGTTTTTGGAAATTCTCAAAATTTTGGATTTTATTAGCTGTTTTCCAAAAAATGTAGTTTTTTGAATTTTTAGGGGTGAAAAACGCATTTTATGGAAAATCCGAGATAGCCATTTTAAAGAACTCGTTGAGCTGCGTCTATTCATGTCCTTAATTTGCAATTTGCTTAAAACCCTGATTTTTGGCGATTTTTAAAACATTTACCACTTTTTGACTAAAAACGCCATGTAGTTACATCACTAAAATCGATATATCTAAAAAAAATTTGAAATTTTTTTCTTAAAAATTACACAGAAGACGTCAAATTGATGGGGGAGAAGGTATGCCAAGTTTCAAGTTGATAGCGTAAGCGGTTCTTGAGTTATTCAAGAAAAACGGAGGGGGGGGGGGGGTCGGATCCGACCCCCCCAGGCGGTCGCGGGTTAATGCAGTGCAATACATACATGCATTCTGTCAACTGTCCTACTCAGAAGTGGGCAGGGCAACAGATGGAGATGCGTGCGAGCTCTTGCGCCGATTGACATCGCAGCCGCACACACTTCTGACATTGACATTGGCATTGACATTGACAATGACATTCTGACTGACATACGTGGCGCCGCCGCGCGCCACGGTAGCTGTAGCCTACCACAGGCCCTCGTTGCCCTGGACATATTCATCTCGGCAGATGTGGCATGTGTTATGGTGGTATGGGGATTTCGCCGCGCCCTCAGACGAGCCGTGGGTAAGATTTCTGTTGGCGCCAGTCCCCTTGAGACCAGGGATGCGGACTGCGGAGCCGTGACAATTTCAGACGGCTCCGGCTCCGGCTCCGGATAAAAAATCGGCTCCAGCTCCGGCTCCGGGTGAAATGTCATGGCGGCTCCGGCTCCGGCTCCGAGTAAAATGGTGGTCCGGCTCCGGCTCCGACTCAGTACATCCCCTATGCGCAGGGATGCAGAGCCGTGAAAATTTCAGACAGCTCCGGCTCCGGCTCCGGCTTCGGAGAAAAAATCGGCTCCGGTTCCGGCTCCGGCTCCGGGTGAAATGTCATGGCGGCTCCAGCTCCGGCTCCCGGCAAAATGTGCCGGCTCCGGCGGCTCCGGCTCCGCACTCTGCTTGAGACCCTAATTTTTCGCGATTATTTTTAAATGGATGGAAGAATTTCAACCATATCTAGGAAATAGCCGTTTCAAGACCTACCGCAACTTTTTCTTCCAGTAGATTTCGTTGTCACTTAAATATTTGTGGCACTTGTCATTGACTCGTAATGTTAACTGTTTTTCCATCCTGGATGGAGTCTTTCATACGTCATGACATTATGCTCCGCCCACGACTGCGGCATTGACCCGTGCCCATCCGCGACCTCTGTACAAACGACACCCCTGCCATCTGCAAAGGGCTTTGAATTTCGCTGATGCTTCACGTGCTATGAATTAATTGTAGCACACGGTCAACTAAATGTTAGGCTAGACAGTGCAGATATAGGACCACCAAATCCTCAATCTACTATTCAGTATTCACACACGCTTCGAACAAACGATTCCTATCAAAATAGCTAAAATTTTTTTTTTTTTTTTTTGATAGGTATCTAACTATTTGGTGGAATACGACCATAGCCCTATGAAGTGAAATGAAGGCAATTAATTAAAGGGACCCTCCCACCTTAACATTAGTTTTGAGTTGAGATAGCCAAGTTTGCGGCCAGGCTCAGAAACCACCATTTATCCTGGTCGCAACCAGGGTTTCGGAGTCGGAGTCGGAGTCGGAGTCGCCCGGAGTCGTGGCAAGCAGCCAGGAGTCGGAGTCGGAGTCGGAGTCGGTCCAGCTGCCTCGACTCCGACTCCGGAAAATTAACTGAAGTCTAAAATCCGTGCCATCACTTTGAAGTTGTGTTTAGCCAGTTGCCCCGCGGCAGAATTCACTTTCAGTGATTACAAATAAGGTTTTTTTTTTCACACATCTTGTTTTTGTTCTGCTTAACAAACATTGGATCTTTTAAGTTTCAAGTTATGTCATAATTTAGAAGCAAGCATTTTGTATTCCCGTTATAACTTCTACTATCCAGTGTCAAAGACAACATATATGTACGTTTTTCTTTTATCGCTCCGAAAAGTGCCTATTACAAACACAGATCACCGACATGATGGCGATGCTCGTGGTCATGATACGGCCACACTCGTGCTTCTCGGCGGGTTTTCAAGCTGGCCACTGGCTGCTGGTCTCTTGTGGATTAAGCTGCGTCCACGTGGGAGAAATGGGAGAAATGATGACCGCATGAACGAAACTGGAATGTGGTAGCAACCTCCCCTTGAACGTATAGATCTAGCACGGGTCGTCATATCACGCGGACTTTTGGCAGTCACCATTGCCCTTTGTAGCAAACCCGGAGTCGGAGTCGGAGTCGGAGTCGGAGTCGGTCAGGAGCCCGGAGTCGGAGTCGGAGTCGGAGTCGGAACTGCACTACCTCGACTCCGAAACCCTGGTCGCAACCCCCGCAGCTTTATGGTGTTCAAGAAATTTCTTCCCTTTACTTGCAGGGTGGGACCAGCGTGGTCCCTATCTCTTAACCATTACGGGAATCTGATGACGTCATCAGGCTTTCGAACGTCCGTTAAATGTTTGACTAAAACGTTTTGTAGCACGCGGTGGTATATGCTGCTTTGCGCGCAACAAATGCCGCACTTTCAAATAAAGTCGCTAGGAACAGCGGAGATCCCAAAAAGTAAACAAAAGTAAAAGTCTAATATCTTGAAAACCGGTGAATATTTTTCGATGAAATTTGGTAGATATTCGTTTTTGCTCTTTCTGAACCGAGCGACATCACTTTCATGCCAATTCATTAACTTTTTTGAAGGTGGGAGGGTCCCTTTAATTATAGCGATGGCCGATACTGATATAGGTGCATTGCGATGTACCTATCCGACATCCCGTGAATCACCTTTTTGCTTCCCGACAAACTTTTTGCTTCATGCATTCTGCTCATCAGTGGCCATATTTTCTTGGCATAAGCGAATCGTTTCTTTTAACAAGTAGCATCTATGAACTGAATACAAATTTATTGTCGTTCTTATTTCAAAACTTGAAATCAATAAATGCCAACATATTAGATACGATAGATATGATAAGATGTCCTTGGCACATAGGCGCATTATCTGCAACGCCAAAGGCTTTAAATAGGTACAATTTAATATTTTCTAACTTTATGTCACATGCCATATGACCGTCATTGCAGCCTATACAAACTAAAGAGAATAAATATCAGCGAACGATCGCATTGAATATGCAACGCGCATTACGCACTGCTGGCTCCTCCGTGGCTCTTTGGGCACTGTCAGGCAAGACGTTACGCAAAACTCCGCCGGCTTTCGGCACCGCTCGACCGTCCCCGCTCCCCGCCACAGCGCGAGTGACCGCGCGCCGGCCCAAAACCAAGGCCCTAAAACATACCCAAAACCGCCGCAGGCCAAGGCCATAGAGGCGGGGCTTAGCTGTGACGTCACAACGTATCAAAGTCTGACTAGACCTCTACACACCGGATGAAAATCTTGCTCGAAATTTAGCATTACGAGTCAATGAGAAGTGCCTGAAAATTGAAATATTGAAATAGCGACAAACTATCTAAATTGTAGAAGTTTCGGCAGGTCTTGAAAAGGCCATTTCTTGAATTTGGTTGAAATTCTTCCACGCATTCAAAAATAATCGCGAAAAATTAGGGTCTCAAGGGGTCTGGCGCAAACAGTAGGTCGTTCATTAAGTAATGATCAATTGGGCATAACTTTTGTTTTACTGACGATAACCCATTCAAGCTTTCACATATTTGTGAAACACTATTTATCAGCCGATCTCAGCCCCCAAACCCGTCACCACCCGCCTGCACGCACTTCTCCCAGCGCTCAACCCAACGCCTGAACCCTGCCCGGAAAAGCACGCTCTCGGTCTTCTTCACCCACTCCCTGGCAGCACGCTTGACGTCGTCATCGGTCTTGAAGTGATAGCCACGAAGTTCATCCTTCAGAGGAACAAATACGTGAAATTCAGAGGGAGCGAGGTCTGGCCGCTGTAAGGCGGCTGCGCGGCATGATATTCCAGCCCATGTCGGCAATTTTCTGGGCAGTAATATGGGCTGTATGCGGCCAGGCGTTGTCATGATGCAGAGTGATATTCGTGACGTCCAGGCCAGGACGCTTCTTCATGATAGTTTGCTTCAGCCTTTTCAGCACCTTGACGTAACGTTCATGATTAATTATCTGCCCAGACTCAAGAAAATCCACAATGAGGACACTATCTTGATCGCAGAAAATGGTCACCATAATCTTCCTAGGAGAAGAGACAGTTTTCACCTTCTTTGGTGCTGGTGATCCTGGGGGTGTCCATTCCATGGACTGACGCCTAGTTTCTGGCTGGTAATGGTGAATTCAGGACTGGACTCATCGCCGGTCACTTTGTGAACTTCGTGGCTATCACTTCAAGACCGATGACGACGTCAAGCGTGCTGCCAGGGAGTGGGTGAAGAAGACCGAGCGCGCGTGCTTTTCCGGGTAGGGTTCAGGCGTTGGGTTGAGCGCTGGGAGAAGTGCGTGCAGGCGGGTGGTGACGGGTTTGGGGGCTGAGATCGGCTGATAAATAGTGTTTCACAAACATGTGAAAGCTTGAATGATTTATCGTCAGTAATACAAAAGTTATGCCCAATTGATCATTACTTATTGAACGACCTTATAAGATATACATGACGCGTCCCTCGCACACATCTGGTCGGGGAGAAAGCGTCACAATAAACTGGGGCTACTTGCTTAGGCAGGTCAACTGGCGAAGCTGGCGTGTGCGCCGTCCCCTCGACTTGAGCGGGCGAGTCCACCGTTGCTGGAACGCTGGTATATCCTACGTCCTTGTAGCCCGGGTGGTTGATGTGCAGCATTACACTTGCACCGGTGCTGATCTCCAGATCCTTTGCCTGATGGCATATTAAATAACACAATGATAGGTGTTATAGATTATAAGGATACTTTTCATATAATGGTAGCACGAGCAATGTCAATCATAACAATAGTCAACCAGCATGACGATATATGTAGCTGCGGCACGTCCTATGCAAAACCTACTATTTCTACTATAATAATTATATTTGAGGTCTACACTATATTTGCGGTGGCTGCGTCTGTCTGTAACCGAGGTCCTGACATGGCGACCTTTAACCCGCGCCCCGTAGGGCTACCGGCGGACCCTACCACCCGTAGGGGGGGGGGGGCCGTATCGGCCCCCCCCTAAGATCTCGGAAAGTTACCGGCCGATTTTCAAAATTCAAACGGCGTTCGATAGCCCCACCCGGGAACTACCTTGTGACCAAATTTCATTGACCTAGGTCAAACCGATGACGTCACAGGTCAGGTCAAAGGTCAGATTTTCACCGTTCACAGGCAATTCAAGAAATGTGCTGTGAAAGCGAGTAAATTGGTAATTTATTGAAAACCATCGATGGTACATTGTTCGTCAAACACATACTTTGCTATCTGAGGTCACTGATACCAGGTCAGGTCACAGCGAGGTCAGGTCACCGGGGTCACAATATGAATGTGTCGTGTGATACATGTTTTATGGTCCATTTTACATGACAAACGCGATTATGTGGGTTAGGCAGCCTTTGGGGCCAGCCTAGGTCACGTTTTTGTGAAGGTCAGGTCAAGGTCAGGTCAAATTAGGTCAAATTTCAAAGTTGATATTTTTGCATAAAATGGGTATCGATTCGATGCAGCTCGTCACGGGGAGTCTAATGGTGGTCTTCGTTTTGCTCTACGAGTTCTAGAATTGCCAAAAATTGAAATTGAAAATTTGACGTCATCATTTTTGAACAGTTTTTTCGCTATAACTTGGCCAAAAAACGAGGTATCGATCTGAAATTTGGTATGTAGATAGAAGACGGTAGGCACTATCACATATATTCCGGTTTTTTTCGAAACTCAAAAAACTTTTTTGATTTTTTGGCGAATATATCCAAAAAAAATGCTTTTTTGATTTATGGGGGTCAAAACTCAAAAATTTCAAAAATTCGAGATAGCAGTTTTGTAGCCCTGTCAATTCTACACCTTTTATGTGATCATTTTTCTGTATCTTCAAAGCTGTAGTCCTGACAGGTCTTCTCGCGAAAGTCTTTTTTCGGTCAAAAATGACAGAACATGACGTCACTCTGACGTCATTTGTGGCCAACCTATCATAGCCTCTGGAAAAATTTTTGGTCATTATGTGTAAAATTGATGCCCGGAGGGGTCCTGAAAGTTTGGTGGCGATATCTCCAGCCGTTTAGGAGATATCGACCGAAAAGGACAGGGGGGGGCCGTTTCGGCCCCCCCCCCCTACGGGGCGCGGGTTAACCTTCGCCCGAGTGGGTGGGGGTGGGGGCTTGGCGCCACACCTGCCAGTTTTTTTTTTTGCGTGTGTAAAGAAAACCGCGGCGGCGACGAAACTTGGTATAGCTTATCATCCATCAATTTCACATCGTGTGTGAAACTTTTGCCCCCAGGTCACGTAAGGTCAGGTCACCACGTCAAGTTAAGTAGCCATGCCTCTAAAAAAATGTGATTCTGTCATTCTTACAGTTTACAGCCCGGAAGTTTGAAACTCGGGATTTTGCGTGAGGAAATCAGTATGAACAATTCGTATATCTCGGGATTTTCATATCGGTGACCTAATGTTAGGTCAATTTTGCGACCTCTCCATTAACCCTATTCCTGGCGGGCTCCGCCGGGACAAGAAACTGGCGGGGGGGGGGCCGATTCGGCCCCCCCCTGAGATCTCGAGAACGAAGCAAGATAGCGACAAGCGGTAAACGGCATCGGATACGCATGGACAAGGTCTACAATTTTTACTAAGGTCATTTTCAGGTCAGGTCAAAGATGACGTCACAGGGGTCGAAAAAGTCAAAATGGCGGCGCTAGATATGGAGAGAGTTTTTCTCGAATAACGGCGCTAGATATGGAGAGTTTTTCTCGAATAACTTTCGAATTAGTCAAGATAGGAACAAACTAAGGGCATCATCGTGATCCTCTCGTCAATCCGCATCGAATGATATATATGTTGACCTCGAAAGGTCAAGGTCAAAGGTTGACCTCAGGTCACGTGACCTCGAGGTCATCATGCATATCATTCGATGCGTCTTGACGAGCTGAACACAATGAGACCATCCACGCGTCTGTATCTTGTTCCTGTACGGAGTTATTGGCCAAAAACCTTTGGTGACCTTTGATGACGTCACATGACCTCACAGCTGCCCAACAGCAAAACAGACCTCAAGGTAGTGAAGGTTGATCGTATATGAAGTCATATATGGTATATGGGGCCATTCCGACCCGTTTTAGTGGTAAAAACAGGGAGTTGATTTTTCCCCCATTGACTTATAATGGGGAGGTCGCGAAACTGACCTGACCTTAGGTCACCGATATCAAATTTCCGAGATATACAAATTGCACATACTGGTACCCTAACTAAAGCCTGAAGAGAAGAAACTGATCGGTCAAAAACTCTAGCTCTGGCGTGATTGCAAACTTTTCTGAGGTAGGGTCACCAAACCGCCTCTGGTGACCTGACCTGAGGTCAGATCAACTCAAAATTTTCAGACATGTTGCGTAGAAGCCTTTTAGGAAAAGTCAGAAAATTTGAGCTTCCTAGCTCAACGCGTTTGGGAGAAATAACCAAAAAACCTCAGGGGGGGGGGCTCCTGAGGCCCCCCCCCGCCAGGAATAGGGTTAAAAGTCAATGGGATAAAATTGAAACGCTCTTTGTTTGACCGAAAACACCCTCAAACATCGTAACATAGGTAAACATGGCACATTGAATCGAAAAATTGCACTGGTGGCGGCCTATTGTAGGTATGCCCTTGAGGTCATCTCAGGTCATGAAACGTCTCAAACAGCTTTTGGACGATAACTTTCGATAGAAACATGCTAGAGCGCTGAAAACACCATGAATGTGTTCAGTTCAGCAATACGAATCGAATGACATGCAACATGACCTTTTCCGTGACAAACTTTCAAGTTGACCTCTTCAGGTCATCTTATAGTTCATTCGACGCGTCTCGACGAGACAAACATGATGCCGGTAAAATCAGCGTCATACAAGCTTGGGGTCAAAAGTTATGGTACGAATTCCGCAAGAACGTCCAATTTTGATAGCTTTTGCCCTCTGGAGGCTAAACCATTAACCTAAGGTCAGATCTGAGAAGATTATCCAGAAAGGCCTTTAAAAGAACTATCGAATGCGCTTGTCCGCAGCGCTGTAGGTCTATCGGTTCCCGACTTATGCACCGATTTGTGAAAAGTTGTCAAAATCGGGTACCAAAAATCGTGAAAATTTTATCTTTGGTGACCGCCAGTAACCTCAGCAATGACCTGATCAAAAATGAACTAGATGATTTTGAAAGATCTTGTAGCGAGCTATACTCGTATATTGCTTTTTATCGCGTCTTTCTAGCTTTCTTACTTTCCGAGATAATCTGGTGTGGCCAAAAAGCCCCCCCCCCCCACACACACACACCCGGGCGTGGGTTAACGCAGGCTACAGGCCAGCCCGTTGCGTCTAGCGCGGTGAAATGTGCATTGTGCACGACTTTTAGACCAAGGATGCGCAACGTGCCTTTGACGGGTCTGAGCTAGACCTGAGCTAGATTATCATTAGTTATGCTTCAGTGTCTTGCTAGCAACAAACATTCGATTTGCAGATATAACAAATGATGCAAAGTGATATCATAACTCACCTTTGCTATCAGGGTTCGCGTTGTTTTTAAATACTTTGAGCGACGATGATGCTGATTTCTTAGGAAATGTGACACGTGTCGGCCTGGCCTTTTGCCACCACGCTTGACTTCTCTTTTCATCTCTGAAGCTGCAGATCCCTGGTCCGCACCGGCAAACTCGATCACTTCCTGGACGTCGATAGGACTTCCGTCCTCCTCCACGAACTCCATCTTTGTAGGGAAAAGAGGCGAAATGTCAGATGTTTAGGGATCAGATGATGAGTTGAGCAAATACAAGTTTAATAAAGGGATTATCGGGGTTTTGGAAATATGAGATTGGCTTGTTTTCGCTGTTGCTGGATTGCTCAGGCTCTGTTGATTCCAAATGGTATGCATAAAAGCATGGGCGTAGGAACGGCTGGAACATTGTAGGTGCATGGGTGCAGAAATCCAGCCACGGCCGGTGAAGCGAAGGGGGTAGGGAGCGGCACCCGAGCAGAGGCTCATTGGGAGCTTAAACCAGCGCCGGGCCGGTGCTCTGAGATTCCGTGCCGGGCCGGGGGGGAGGGGTGTCTGAACACCCCCCTTCTAACTCGGCTCCTGGGCCATGAAGCGACACGCGGTAAGCGGCAATCGTAAGAGCGCCAAAAATAATGAGGAAATTACTTCAGTCACCTTTTTGGTCAGATCAAAGGTCAGGTCACCAGAGGTCATTGAAGGCACAATTTCGCCGATTTTCATGTCGAATGTCGACAATTTTCAAAATGCCAACGCATAACTCGGGAACCAACAGAGCTACAGCGCCACGGAAAAGCGCATTCGATAGCCCTATTAGCGCCCTTTCTGAGTAATTATATCAGATTTGACCTAGCCCCAACGGTTTTGCCTGCAGATGGCAAAACTGCCAAAATAGCCGATTTGTTCGGAAACAGTTTTTCTGCAATAACTTTTGACTCAAGCTTTGCACGAGCTTACTTTTACCGGAATCGTGTTCCTCTTGTCAAGGCGCATCGAATGAACTATAACTTGACCTTGGAAGGTCAACTTGAAAATCTGATCTCAGGTCAAGGTCATGACCTGACCGGAAAGGGGCATGTTGCATATCAGTCGATCCGTATCGTCGAGCTGAACACATCTAAGGCGTTTTCATCACTCTATCATGCTTCTATCAAAAGTTATTCGCGAAAAACTGTTAGATACCATTCGTGACCTGAGATGACCGCAGGGGCATAAACAGGGGGTCACGGACTCACGCATACCCTTTTCGGAAAAAGTTCACTTTCCTAAAATTAGTTTTTTTGCTATGGAGTTATGTTTTTTTCATGCTCAAAATCATCAGCAAAGAAAATAAAAGCTATCTGTTGAAAAATTATGTATCTTCATTTAGGAAAAAACTATATTCTATAAAAAGTATTGTTTAACACAGAAGCTTATTACATTTTGACCAATCATATTGCGTAGTAAAAACCCATTGGTTGCAAGCAGCATGCTGATTGGCTGACGCCAAGCTGAGACTAAGGTGGCTGCATTCTGAGTATTTCTTCTAAGTCACCCTTTTCGGAACGAGAAATGGAATATCTCCGTCTAGGGTGATCGTTGGGCGGTAAAAGCTTCTGATTTGTGCTAGTCTCAGCTCAAGCTAAAAAAAACTGCTATTCCAGTTCAAAACCCCATGTTAAAAGTGTACTATTTCCTTTAAGAACATTGGCATAAGAATGGCTGGAACATTGTGGGTGCACCGTGCATGCCAGACTGGAAAACATCCATACGCTACGCCGGACGCCCGCGAGACCCTCTTGCGCCGAAATTCGACGCAAGCAATTTTGCGCCGAAATTTCTGCGTCATTTGCGCCAAAAGTTAGGTGTCTATTTTTTGCAAAAATTAAGCCCTTTTCATATAAAGCACCTGTGTACGTCTACTGATCAAGGCTATATGAACCAGACAGTGTTTCGGGGCCTTGTACGTACACTCTCCCATGTTTGAGCGTCCTAATGAGTTATTGATTTCCACTGAAACCCAATGCCTCAATACTCTTAGCGCACTCTAGATTCATGCCGTGAAACAAAGCCGGAGCTGTAAGTTCCGGGGCCACAAATATCGGCGGAGCAGTGTGTTCGAGGCTGGCGGGAGCCAGCGAGGGCCGGGCAGCGGAACAGCACATGCTCCGGCACATCAGCCTCTTCTCGGCTCATGGTGCAGAGCGCCGCTGGGCACCGCTTGTCTGGGCACTGCTGGCACGCGGCGGAGTGGAGACAGCCGATTCGGTGCCGTATTGGAGCGAGCGGCCCCGGTGGCCCGCCCTCATCTGGTGCACCGAAATGGCATCCTCTCGGTCCTCTCCAGGGATAGGGAGCGGTGGCGTGATCCCGAGGAGTGGCCTGAATAGTGATTCTGAGCAGTTGTCGCGTCACTGATGCGAGGCCGCACAATGAACCGCCCTGGTCAGCGATCGGGCGTTTGAGGGCAGGGCGGCCGCCTGTTTTGCCAGGTCGTCCACGATCTCATTCTCCTCGATACCGCAGTGGGCAGGAACCCACTGTTATTGCTTAACGACGCTTGGCGGCGTTCAACAAGGTCTTCCATACCTATCTCTATGCCGAAGGTTGAGGCCTCACCTGAGCGGCCGCTCCTCCGCTGAGTAGACAGACAGACCTTAATTCGGAACCTCCATAAAATGGGTTTGTGGTTTCCACGTCATATACAGGCGAGATAATAGAACCTAAAATACCAGTATAACGCCTTTTGGGGCGACTAAAGGCCTGGCTACACTATGCGTTTTCTGCGTGCGTTTTTTGCGAGTTTGCGTGATTTGCAGAATATCGTTCTAGAAAGAAACGAAATTACGTTTTTGTCATATGTTTTTCATATAAACTTTTAATTAACATAAACGTTTTATCAATTTTTATATCAATATTAAAGAAGTTTATTTAATAATAACCCTTTTTCTAGAACGATATTACGCAAAACCCGCAAACACGCAAAAAACGCACGCAGAAAACGCATAGTGTAGCCAGGCCTTAACGGAGCGAGCGAGAGGGTGGGCCTTGCACGTGCGAAATTGCGAGGGGGTACCTCCAACTGACTTGTGCACGGCACCCTAATAACCGGTCTCTAGCGATGTGCCAAATTTGGGCACAATCGGCCCAGCCGTTCTCGAGATCTGGAAGCGGCACCCTGCACGTGCGCACGTGCAAAATGGGTCCCAACTGACTTGCGCACGGCACCCTACTAACCGGTCCCTAACTGTGTACCAAATTTGAGCGCAATCGGTGGAGCCGTTCTCGAGATCTGGAAACGACCCCTGCACGTGCGCACGTGCAGCAGCGCCCCAACTCTGGCACATGGATATGCAGTGCCTAGTGGGTGCCTACCTACATGCCAACTTTCAGCGCAATCGGCCAAGTAGTTACCGAGATATTGCAACAATTACAAAACGGACACCTCTTCGTTTTGCACGTGGCACGTGCATAAGGGGTCACCCACATGCATCGGGAATAGTCCAATACTTGGTAGAAGGAATGAAGCTACCCTACAAAAATTGCCGCGTGTAAATCGGTCAAGTGGTTGCTGAGATATAAGCCTCGCAAAAGCGTGACCACGGCCGGCCGCTCATACTCAGAAACTTCCGTTAATCTAAGGAAAGACTACGCTCGCTTCGCTCGCTCCGTAATCAAGCTAAAACCACGTAGCAAAGATAGAGGCGCATTAAAAATCATTCCATTGCTTGCTAGCGCGAAATAGGAAGCCACGGCGGGCAAACTCTGGCCTTACACGAGGCAAAGTCAAACGCCCATTCTCGGTCGCACGAGTACTTCTGGAAGACTCGTCAGATCTCTAAGGACCAGCTTACTACGCCAGATCTCAGGGGCGTTAGCTAAGGTCATCAGATGTCGTACAATAGTGAGATCATTGTCACAAATCAGGTCGTACACACACTTCCATGCTAGCTCCTGCAGTGCTGGGGTTACATGTTCGCGCCGGCTCAGACCGCACCCTGTGCGCACACCAAAATTGATTATTTTCTGGAAGCGCTTTTCTGGGTAACATTGCAGCTACCTGTGCGGGATGCGCTTCATGGATTTCGGGTACTCTGTTGCACGACCAAGCAAGACTGATCAATATCCGGTTGCAGCGCTGGACGATGGCGGATGGATGTTTTCCTCAGGGCGCCTCGCCAGTTCGAGCACGCGACGACCGGGGCAGGGACGCCTTGTCCCAAAACCCCCCCAGAGCCGCCCGCAGGGCGACCGGGGCAGGGACGTCCTGTCCCAAAACCTCTCCAGAGCCGCCCTCAGGGCGAATCTGCTGCTAGATTGACCAGCGTACTGCATAAATTCAGTGACTGTCTTTTGCCAAAAATTATGGGCATTAGTAAGACTGGCGTCCCAGGAAGATGCCAGATTGGGACGACAGAGATATATAGACCAAAACAAACCTAACCTAACCTGACCTACACCTACAAACCTACAACCTACAACCTACCTATACAACCTACAACAGTATCTGGCATCTTCCTTGTCCTGGGACGCCAGGCTTGCTTATACCAAATTATGTGACCGCCATGCGCCAAAAAAATTGTCTGCCACCATGTGCTGAATTCAGCGCATGCGAAGTTACGCCAGATGTGCGCTTAAATTATTGGCGGATCCCACCACCACGCCGGATATCTTCGGCATAACGTGTATTTTTTCCAGTCTGGCGTGCGTGGGTGCAGAAATCCAGAGCCAAGGCCGGTGAAGCGGGGAAGGGGTTGGGGAGCAACACTTTGGGAAAACATTTTGCATAAGTATATCAATTTCTGACACATCTTGACCTCATTATCTCACATTGACATGATCTCACAGTCCACAGATTGATCCTTGAGGTCCTTCTCACCGTCTTGGTCTGTGGCTGTGCCTCACACTTGGTCTCGATGGTCGTAGGACAGAAAATGGTATGATTCATATTTTAAAATTACTGAATATTGAGTGACAGAAAATTCCCGTATGGGGCAGTGCACATTATATCAACTTATGCCCACACAAAAGGCCGCTAGCCCCTTGGCCCTGAGCCCTGATGACGTCAACAACATTTCTTATATTGAGAATTTCGGCTATAAGGAAAATATTTTACAGACAAAAATTTGTATTTTATTTAGAAAAATGAAATTTTTCAATTTAATCATGAAAATTATATTATTTAATTAAAAACTTGAATCCTTTGAAGTGTTTGTCCATGATTTGTCCCAACCCTTGCTATACCTTTGGTCACGTGACTGCCATGATTTACTTTGCGTTTTGCAATGTTATGACAGTTGAACAGAAATAAGTACTGTTACAAGCGTTACAAGTGCATTATTAATGATGTTTTAGACAGCAATCGTGTAAATATATCCTGACATTATACACAATCTGCTGAAAAGAAGTCACGTGATGCTACCAGATTGTGCTCCGACAGCATCTTCTTGAACTTCGATTTTGAGTACTTTGTACCTTCATTGAGGCCTAATAACGGACGTTTTTAGTTATGAAATGAAGCATTGAATCTAATGAGTGCAAAATTTAATCATTTTTTGCACTTTCAGGCCGGGCTATCCCGGCCAAATGGAATACGGAGGGAGAGAACTTTTGAACTTTGAGCATGAAATTTTGGCATAAACTTCAGATATGGTAGCACTAGTGGTGAACGCAAACGAGACGATTACAAAGCAATGTTGCAAACGTGGCGCAAGTCTTATTCGCTTCCTATTGTTTTTGGATAAATATTGCGGTGTTGTTTGCCGGTGCTTTGTCTGAAATTTAAGAAGACTGAGCATATTTTCAGTCATCATCTTAGGGCATCGAGATGGCCCGCAGGTATGACTCAAGAACCACCATATTCTCTCCAGAAGGGAGGCTGTATCAAGTTGAATATGCAATGGAAGCCATCGGCCACGCCGGTACATGCTTGGGAATCAGAACCCCTGATGGAATAGTTCTAGCAGCTGAGAAGCGTAACATGAATAAGCTTCTTGATGAGGTTGACTTCTCAGAGAAAATCTATAAACTCCATGAGAACATGGCATGCAGTGTTGCTGGCATCACCTCAGATGCAAATGTTTTGACGAACGAGCTGCGCCTGATCTCGCAGAGGTATCTTCTTCAATATGGAGAGCCAATTCCTTGTGAGCAGTTGGTCACTATGCTCTGTGATCTCAAGCAGGCATACACCCAGTTTGGAGGGAAAAGGCCGTTTGGTGTGTCCATCCTGTACATTGGTTGGGACAAGCACTATGGATATCAGCTGTACCAGTCTGACCCAAGTGGAAACTACAGTGGATGGAAGGCGACATGCATTGGAAGTAACAGTGCTGCTGCAGTTTCTATCCTCAAACAGGATTACAAGGAAGACATGGAGATAAAAGCTGCAATCATGCTGGCCATGAAGGTGATGAGCAAAACTCTGGATGTCACCAAGCTGGCTGCTGACAAGATAGAGCTCGCTGTTCTGTCTCGGGGGCAGGGCAAGACCAGTCTGAGGATCCTGCCAGAGAAAGAGGTGACAGGGTACATCACCCTACATGAAAAGGAGGAGGCAAAGGCAGAAGAGGAGAAGAAGAAGGAGAAGGATGGTAAAGCATCTTCATCAAAGTGAGTGGCCTGAGGTGTCAAAAGAACAATGACTGAAGCTTTTGACCTGTGTTGGCGATCATACATTCACAGGATTACTTGTCATGTCCAGTACTGTGAAATACACTTGGATTGTGGTCTGTTAATTTGTTAGTTAAATTTCAACTATGTAGGTTGCAGGTAGTGCCTAGCTACTAATCCATGCATTCACAAGCCAAGGTCAACCACACATGCCCACTATTTCAAAATTTAATGTTTAAACTTTTGTTCATGATTCTGCTCCCCCCCCCTCCACCACCAGCAGGTGTATTTAAATAAGTGACTACTGACTAGTTTGTCCAACTGACTTAAAACACATCACTTATGTTTCTTTTTCAGGCATACTTACATACTTGAAGGACTGACTATGCATATCAGACCTATCTTTATAGATCATTTTCTGTCACAGATCAAGGAATTACAATCTAAGGGTAGTTATCACTTCGCTCAAATATGGAAATTTAAAAGGCATTAAATGGTTAGCAGTTGATTTTAACAGATGCTAGGCAGTAGGCATAGCATTTTGCTCAGAAACTACCCTCTTTACAATAGTCGATACTTATGAGAAATCTTGCTAGGCAAGGTTGGAGATGAAAATTTGTCAATGTTTTACTTGCTGTTGTATAGGCAAGCTGTTCCCAATGGCCAATACCATGCCTTTTCATAAACTATAGTAACTTTTGATCGCATCATAGCTCTGCATAGTCGAAGCTGTTTTTGAATGCTATGGAAAGCTAGTCGATTGCTAAAAACAACCCATTGGGGAATACAATAAGACTATTTTTAGTTTTGACTTTTTATTTTGTGCATCTAATACGGCCATCAGAATTCGTGGGCAAAAGTGTGTACCTATCGCAAAAGTACGTTGGACGAAAATGCCTCCGCAAAATCTTTGTACGATTAGGTTCGTAGGCGCTAAAGTACGCAAGGACAAGTACGGATCGCTAGAGGACCCAACATAACCTGACCTGACCTCACTAACTGAACTTAGTAGCACATAAAAATTAAAAAGAGTCCAGTATGTACATCCTCACGAGCTCGATGAGAGCGGCCAAGTGGCCTTCTTTAACTCGAACACCTTGAAGGTAAGGTAAAGTAAGGTAAAAAACTAGCCCAACAAAACCCAGCCCAACCTAATTTAATCTACACTATTGTCCAAACGTACGTAATGCCATAAGTACCTACATTTGCGATATGCACTTTAGTCCTACCCATATTTGCTGACGTACATTTGCCATAAGAACATTTGCGAAGCATCCTTTGTTGTCAACCCACCCAGCACAGTGCGAGGCAGACTCGCCGGTACCTGGCAGGCGAGAGCCTTGGGCGAGAGGGCGCCGACATTCGTGCATAGATGGCGCTTCTGCCTGGACATAGGCGAAACTACGGAGGATCGCTTTGGCTAATGAGTGGGCAAATCATACAGAGCTGTAGATGAATATGTTGTTTTAGATCTATACGAGGTCCTGCATGTTCACAACACTATATGTTGTCATCTGTAGATCTCCACGAGACATTTCCCCACCAAGAACGGTCGCTCATTCGTTCATTAGTTCAAAGGTACCCAGCTGTTTAGATTATATGTTAATGTGTGGATATGCAGGTCGTTGGGCAGATCCATAGACTCCTGTATATGTAGGTACAGGTCTCGCCGGTTTAAACGGTAGGTTTTGCACCTAGAAAAATTAGTGTACTTCAGGCTATATCTTCGTCGTCTTAAGCTTTTACTTGTTGAAGATGCGATCGACTTGTTGGTTCTCAAGCCGGCCATGATCGTGTAAAATGGCTTCATCGTAGATCGATTAGTTTCTAAGATATAACCGGAAATGTAAATGTGCAAAACCTACCGCTTAATCGCGCGAGAGCCGTACATAAGTCTATGGTAAATCACATCAACGAAGTTTCCGTCTCACTTTTGCCACCGGTTGGGCAATCAGCTGTTGGCACGGGGCTCTAACGCATATGATACACCAAAAACACTTACATGATAACACTCCACAGGCATACATTGCCGGAATACTAATCATGACGTACTGGTTGTCCGCATGGAACTGCGCAATCATGCTTCCAGTGCAATCTCTCGGACTAACTAATAAAACCGATGGTTGTTGCCGCAGGCTTTACAATGGTTGATTTAAACCATTTAATCTATCAGAGACCAGAGTAAGAGTAGTATGTACAGTCTGTCTTAAAAGTACCGCGCAAAGTGACGGTGGATCCATCAAGCCTGACTGAGGTAGGGCCTGCTATAATTTGAAAGTCACCAAACCAATTGATCTAGGGAATGGACGAGGATGTGAATTGCTTCGGTGACTCAAATTTAGTAGGCCCTTTCTCGGTCAGGCATGATGGATCCACCTAGCTGTAAGAATCTTGGATCCACCGTCACTTTGCGCGGTACTTTTAAGACAGACTGTACACTAGGATGTATTTACTTATCGTATGAGCGAACTGAAACAATTCGAACGTCAGCTGGTGTAAGCAATCAGCAAGTCTTGAATAGCTGTTTGGCTATAGAGACTTTATGCACTGAACGTTAATATTGTTTTATTCGTTTCGTACCACGCTATCATACATCAGCAGAGTGCATGAAAGCCAGTGTCGCCAGTGTCGAAAGTCGCACACGTCTTCTATACCGAAACATTGCCCACAAATGGGAAGCTAGGGCTTTGTCGATGAAAATGTTTTATAAAGAGTATGATCCATAACACTTCACCCACACAAACCGCAAACGAATGCCGTTACACCAAACACGGGGTACACCAAAACAGTATAAACACTGGCGCGGGTAGTGGTGAGATCTAATTTAGACTCCTTCGACTTTCGGCACATTCATTGTATGAGACATAACGTGGCGGAAAAGTGCCCACTTGGCACGGAAACCAACATTGCACATGGGACACTTTTTGGTGCCCAGTTTGGTCACGCAGCCCTTGAGGAACATGTCGAACGCAGTGACCTGCTGGGGGTGCGCGGCGGCGAGGTGCAACTCCAGCCGTCTGGTATCGTCGGCTCGGAACGGGCAGAAGAAGCACCGGTCGACACCGCCGCGCGTCTGGTAGCCGCCGCGGGGCTGGCTGTAGGCCTCCTGCTGCAGGGTCTGCGAGCACCGCTCCGTCAGGAACCGACCCACTGACAGCTGGCTCCAGCCGCCGGACGGAGGCGCCGCCGCTGGCGGACCCTTGGCCGTGGCCGCGCGCTCGTCCCGCCGCTCCGTCTTCGTGTCCCTGCCGGTCCTGGCACTGTCATGCGTACCATGGACAGCCCCTGTTTGGGCGCTGGCAGGTTGATTAGCAATGCCCTTGGCTCTCGTCTGGGCTGCTACCGAAACTTCCATTGGGCTGGGTCTGTCAGGTCTAGTAGTGCCCTTGGCTGCTAAGGGAGCTTCCACTGGGCACATCCTGTGGGTCAT